ACACATGAACCTGCAAAGGAATATAGAAATGTAAGACATGGCAACGTGTTCAAGACACCTGATTGGGCGACGGGCACTTGCAATGCTGAGTGCATCGATCTTGATGAACCGTGCCGCCGGCCCTCTTCGACCTCGTCATTCATCGCAGATGATTCCGCCGGCCTCCTTCAAGTCGAGGCGGGGGGGGGGAACCCACTAGTAAAAGAGACCCCTCTTCCTACCTCCGGAGGAGTGCGGAGGAGGAGGAGGAAGAGGAGGAGGAGGAAGAGGAGGAGGAGGAGGAGCAGGAGCAGGAGGAGGAGGAGGAGGAGGGAGGAGGAGGAGGAGGAGGAGGAGGAGGAGGAGGAGGAGGAGGAGGAGTAGGAGGAGGAGGAGGAGGAGGAGGAGGAGGGAGGAGGAGGCCCACGCCCTCTCTACGGGCAACGATCCGGAAGCACTGCCGGCCCCTCGGCCGCGTGCGGCCGGCCGGGCGCGGCGCGGCGCGGCCCGTGGCGCGCGCCGCGAAGAGGCGCGCCTCGGCCTCGTCGGCTGCGCCCGGCTCGCGGCCTCCGCCCGAGGGGGCGGCGGGGGCCTTCGGCCCGCGCGCCGCCCGCGCGCCGCGGGCGGGCGCCTCTGCCTCGCGCCGGCCTCTGCCGCGCGCCAGCCTCAAACAGCCTGCGGCCCTCGCCTCCGCAGCCCCTGCCCCTCGGCCCTCGTCCGTCGTGCCGGATAACTCATCCCCCCGCGGCGCGCCGCCGACGCGCGCGCGGGCCCCGAGGGCCGGCCTGCGGGGAGGCAGCGAGGTGGAGCGGAAGAGGCGCTTCGAAGAGGAAGGGGGGAAGGTGCTTCGAGCACCGGGACTTGGGCGAAGAGAGGGTCAAGATGAAGGCGCCCAGGGACGCACAAATAGGCGGACACAAATCCCAGGATTCCCCGTACTCGTCCGTGGATTCTAGAGCTTCGTCTTCCCCTTCCACTGCCCGTGCTTCCCCATGTTTTCCTCGCAATCGGCGCTTACTTGTGACTGTGCGTTTTCTTCCCCTCCTGTCAGGAATTGGAGGCCTGGAAATTGGCACCAACACCAGCACAGGGGGGTGCCTTCACATGGGGAAGACGATCCTAGATGTCGGTGGTGGTGGCAATATTTCGGTCACTTTGGAAGCCAGAATATCACCACCCTCGCCGAGATCGGGATCGTCTTCCCTCGGTGGAGGCACACCGCCTCCTCCTTCGTCTCCTCCTCCTCCTCCTCCTCCTCCTCCTCCTCCTCCTCCTCCTCCTCCTCCTCCTCCTTGATGTCAACCTCTGGGCCTGCGAAAGAGGGCGCCCGAGGCCCGCCTCCGCCGTGCCGGCGCCGACGCCAGCCAGCGCGAGGAAGCCCTGGAGCTCGTCGGCCTGCGCAGCCGCCGGCCGGTCGGCACGGCGCCGGCGCGCGGCGGGGCGGCGCCGTCGGCGCCGCGGCGGCGGCAGCGGGGGAGGGAGAGGGGGAGGGAAGCGAGAGAGAGGAGGAGACGAAGGAGGAGGAGGAGGAGGAGGAGGAGGAGACGAAGGAGGAGGAGGAGGAGGAGGAGGAGGAGGAGGAGCAGCAGGAAACAGGAGGAGAAGAAGGACGACGACGAGAAGGAGGAAGAGGAGGAGGAGGAGGAGGAGGAGGAGGAGGGCGACGAGGAGGAGGAAGAGGAATCGGAACCGGAATCGGAATCGGAATCAAGCGGTGTGTCCATGACGGCTGCTGCACGCATGCCACGTATCTGCGCTGAGCAAATGTGGCAAGAGGGATCTGAGGGAAGCACCCGCCTCCTCCTCCTCCTCCTCCTCCTCCTCCTCCTCCTCCTCCTCTCCTCCTCCCCTCCTCCTCTGGCGGGACCGGGCCGGTGAAGGTATGGCATCAAGACCTGAGGCAGGAAAGCGTCTAGGAAGAAGGGCCAAGGCTCTAACATCAGGCCTACGGCCGCATGGACATCCAGAAAAGGGAGGACCACATGGGGGGAGGAGGGGAGCGGAGGATCTGGCGGCAGCCCTGCAGGAAAAGCAGGGCATCGCCACCCCTGGGCATGCAGTCCCCATCCCCTGGGCTCCTTTCTGCTTGGCGGTCGGCTGTCTCCTCCCGACGGCCACAGCCAAGGGGGGCTGTGGAGGAAAAGGCAGGAGGAGGAGGAGGAAGAGGAGGAGGAGGAGGAGGGAGGAGGAGGAGGAGGGAGGAGGAGGAGGAGGAGGAGGAGGAGGAGGAGGAGGGAGGAGGAGGAGGAGGAGGAGGAGGAGAGCAGTGTCCCCGGGCCTCAAGGAAGAGCTGAAACTAAGGCAAGCTGAAGACGCTGTGGCGCCTGGGCTGGCAGTGCAAGGGGCGACTGCTGAGGCTGACTCACTGCTGGCCCACGCTGCTGCAGTTGAAGTGGTGGTTGCTGTTGTTGGTGTTGCGCCACCGGCGCATGCACATGAAACCCCATCGCCTGGACGGCTGACGCTGCGGCCTGGGCTGCCTGTGCTTGAGCTGCGGCCTAGGCTGGTGCTTGAGACGGGGCACCCATACCACCTGCACCATGTGCTGCTTGCCCTGATGTGGAGCTGTAGAGCGTCTGAAAGTTCTGGGTGACGCCAAGGATGTTCTCTGCCAGTACTTGCCGAGTACGCTGTAGTTTTCCCAGTCCTGATACATTGGCTTGCCACTGTGATGATGAGTGGCTACCTACGAGACCACCCCAACCCAACCCGAACACCGAATTTCGGGTTGGGGGCGGTACGGGTTCCAGATGTGTTTTCCCCATGTTTCCCGACCCCCCCACACTGGAAATGGAGGGCAAATTGAGGCCTTCGGGTTGGGTTGTGCCACCAGCAGAGCTTGCGGCCGTATCTGACTTCGCAATGTCGGCTTGGGCTGGAGGCGTAGGCGGGCAAGACGAAGCAATAATGGTGCGGAGCTCGGTCTCCGCCTGCTTCATGGTCCCGCTCCTGCTGCTTGGCAAGATCTAGTGTCCAGATGGCTACCCATTATTATGCCTTCTCGAGCTCGGCCTTGGTGGTCTGGATCCTCTTCTCGGCACGTGTGAGCGCATCCTCCTGACGAGCCAATTGTGTAGTAGGGCCTCCGGCGCTACGCATCATGGCCAGAACCACGCAGTATTCCTCGATGTGCGCACCGATATACTGGCCCCGACAGTGCTTCTCGATGATGAGGGCGTCCAAGGCCGACAACTGCTGCGCCACCCGCGACCGGCACCTCTCCTTGCGATCTCCTCGGAAGCCTGGTCGGGCGGCGGTGGGCCCCACTGCGGGTGACTCCTCGCGGCGATCGGCCCCACGGCGCGCAGATCCAGCAGCGTCTTGGCAGAATCGATCCAGAGCACCTCGGAGCCGTCGGCCGCCTCGACTCGTGGAGGCCGCCGCCCTCGACGGGGCTGACGCTCACGACCCGGAGACCGGCCTCGAGCTGGTGCTGCACCTCGCGCCAACCTCGCCGCCTGGGCCGCTCGCTCGTGGCAGGCCGTGCCTCTCGCCGAGGCTGTGGTGAGAGCTGCCTTCGCCGTGGTTGCCGACCAGGCGCCCTCCTCCTCCTTCTCCTCCTCCTCCTCCTCCTCCTCCTCCTCCTCCTCCTCCTCCTCCTCCTCCTCCTCTGAGGACACCCGTGGCATGCTGGCGACGTCGTCCAGTTCATGGCGCCACACTCGTCGCAGCGCCACGCTGCTGCCGAGGGTGAGCGCGCACGAAGCTTCGGCACCGCGAGCTTCGGCCGTGGTGGGGTGCACTCCCGCGACGGCGCAGTGGCAGCTGATGGCCACGCCGACGTCGGAAGCGGCTCCGGGCTGCGGCACGTTGCCTTCGCCGGCGGCGGTGCCAAGGAGACCTGGACCGTCCTTTGCCCGTCGCGCCTGCTCGGGCGCCACGGGGCCTGCACAACTGCGGGCGCGGGGGAGCGCGCGCGCGCGCCCGACGCAGGGCAGAACGGCTCCGCGCGCTGGGCCTCGCTGTGAAGCCACCTGGGGAGAGGAGGAGGGAGGAAGGGGAGCGAGGAGGAGGAGGAGGAGGAGCAGGAGGAGGAGGCGGAGGAGGAGGAGGAGGAGGGGGAGGAGGACAAGAGGAAAACGACGACGACGACGACGACGACAAGGAAGAAGATAAGGATCAGGAGAAAAGGGGGAGGAGGCTTCGCCCGCGACGACTGACGCTGCGACCGAGTCGCACAATCCCAGCCTCCCTGGTTCGCCGGGCATTCAAAAAAATCAAAGCAGGCGCGTCTGCAGTCATGCTGAGCTCGCCTCGTGCTTGTGCAGCTCCTTGCAGCCTGCAGCTGCCGAAAGGCAGGAGGAGGAGGAGGAGGAGGAGGAGGAGCCGCAGTAGCTGAAGGAAGAGCTAGCGGGGCAAGAGGAGCAGGAGGAGGCAGAAGGAGAGGGGGAGCAGCATGAGAACGAGAGGGAAAATGAGGAGGAGGAGGAGGAGGAGGAGGAGGAGGAGGAGGGCGGCAGGGGCGGAGGGAGGAGTGCGAAGGGAGAAGGGCGGAGGGATAAGGGAGGAGGGAGGGGGGGAGGGAGGGAACCAGGGAAGAGGAAAGAGGGAGGGAGGGGGGAGGAAATGAGGGAAGGAGGGAAGGAATGAGGAGGGAGGGGGGGAGGGGGGGAGGGAAGAGGGAGGAGACAGGAGGAAGAGGCAGGAGAAAGAAAAGGAAGAAGCGTGAGGGAAGGAGGCACCCGTGCGAGGGGAAAACCGACTCGGGTGAGCCGCCACAACGGCGCTTCGAAGTGCACCCGCAGCCGAAGGCGAAGCCAAAGCCGACGTGCACAGAAAAAAGGAAAAAGGCCTGCCCTGCAGGCTTTATGATAAAGCGGCGCCAAAGCCTCTCCAGAGCATCAGCTAGACAAGTCGAGTTCGCACCCTCATGCCTTGCCGGCGCTGGGCGAGGAGAAAGCGGCAGTGGTGATACATCGGCCTCAAACGGCCAGCCGCTTGTGCTACAAAACCTCCGCTTCGAAAATGTACGGGTGGGATATCTCCACTTCAGACGGCTTCGAACGGCGGTGTGCAAACGTCTACCGAAGAGGCGAGTCCGTGTAGCTGGCCCAGTCGCCCCAGGCACTGCCGGTCAGGCCGTCTTGATAGAACATGCCGATGATCGCCATCATCGCCAGCCTTCCGTTGGCGATCTCCGCGTTCAGCTTCTTCGTCTTCGCCTCGCCCTGGAAGCCAGAGAGCAGAGGCGGCTTCCAGCCCACGTCGCCGGGCGTCTTCTCGCCGAACGCCACGTACTTCCCCTTCTCTGTCGCGGAGCCGTTCACGCTCGCAGACCGCTCGCAGAACCAGCAGTAGGCGATCATCTGCAACCAACCCTCTTGAGGCACCTTGGACAGGGCGGCCAGGCCGTTCGGGACGTCTTCGAAGGCGATGCCTGTTCTCACGGGGCTGGGTTAAACACAGACGAGGCCAGTGGCTCCCTCCCTCTCCCCCGCCTCCATCCCCGCCGCTTCCCTCCCCTCTCTCTCTTGGGAGGGGGGAAGCGGATGACAGGAGGTCCTGGTCGTGTACATTTGGGCCCCAGAGAAACCCTTAGACGGACTGAGCATCCCGGGGAACTTGCCCGCGACCTCGGGCGTGATGTAGCCCATCGTGGCCAGCATGCTGATGCGGCCATGCTTGATCTCAGTAGAGCGGCGCCTCCTGAACTTCTCGGCATCGCCGTCCTTCGTGAAGCCGATGGGATCCCAGAAGCCCAAGGGTGCCTGCACGCCCAGCTCGCTCTCGAAGGCGCGCAGCGGCGAGTCCGTGTAGCTGGCCCAGTCGCCCCAGGCACTGCCGGTCAGGCCGTCTTGATAGAACATGCCGATGATCGCCATCATCGCCAGCCTTCCGTTGGCGATCTCCGCGTTCAACTTCTTTGTCTTCGCCTCGCCCTGGAAGCCAGAGAGCAGAGGCGGCTTCCAGCCCACGTCGCCGGGCGTCTTCTCGCCGAACGCCACGTACTTTCCCTTCTCTGTCGCGGAGCCGTTCACGCTCGCAGACCGCTCGCAGAACCAGCAGTAGGCGATCATCTGCAACCAACCCTCTTGAGGCACCTTGGACAAGGCGGCCAGGCCGTTCGGGACGTCTTCGAAGGCGATGCCTGTTCTCACGGGGCTGGGTTAAACACAGACGCCGCCAGTGGCTCCCTCCCTCTTCCCCGCCTCCATCCCCGCCGCTTCCCTCCCCTCTCTCTCTCTTGGGAGGGGGGAAGCGGATTACAGGAGGTCCTGGTCGTGTACATTTGGGCCCCAGAGAAACCCTTAGACGGACTGAGCATCCCGGGGAACTTGCCCGCGACCTCGGGCGTGATGTAGCCCATCGTGGCCAGCATGCTGATGCGGCCATGCTTGATCTCAGTAGAGCGGCGCCTCCTGAACTTCTCGGCATCGCCGTCCTTCGTGAAGCCGATGGGGTCCCAGAAGCCCAAGGGTGCCTGCACGCCCAGCTCGCTCTCGAAGGCGCGCAGCGGCGAGTCCGTGTAGCTGGCCCAGTCGCCCCAGGCACTGCCGGTCAGGCCGTCTTGATAGAACATGCCGATGATCGCCATCATCGCCAGCCTTCCGTTGGCGATCTCCGCGTTCAGCTTCTTCGTCTTCGCCTCGCCCTGGAAGCCAGAGAGCAGAGGCGGCTTCCAGCCCACGTCGCCAGGCGTCTTCTCGCCGAACGCCACGTACTTTCCCTTCTCTGTCGCGGAGCCGTTCACGCTCGCAGACCGCTCGCAGAACCAGCAGTAGGCGATCATCTGCAACCAACCCTCTTGAGGCACCTTGGACAGGGCGGCCAGGCCGTTCGGGACGTCTTCGAAGGCGATGCCTGTGCTCACGGTGTTAAATTCAAATCAGACGCCACCAGTGGCTCCCTCCCTCCCCCCCCCCCCGCCTCCACCGCTGCCTCTTCCCCCCCCTTCTCCTGGGAGGGTCGGGGAAGCGGGTTACAGGAGGTCATGGTGATGCATCGGCCACCGTGTCCCCTAGCACGTTGAGGCGTGGTAGGATGACAAGTGCTGTCTGGCAGAGATTATGCGAGTGTTCTCTGGGATCCCCGCCCCCTCTTATCATACACTTCAACAGATCTCTCTTGGTAAGGCCTTCCCTACTCCTCCTCCTCCTCCTCCTCCTCCTCCTCCTCATCATCATCATCATCATCATCATCACCACCACCACTTCCACCATCATCCCATCATTCATCATCATCATCATCATCATCATCATCATCATCATCATCATCATCATCATCATCATCATCATCTCATCATCATCATCATCATCATCATCATCATCATCATCATCATCAGCATCATCATCATCATAGCATCATCATCATCATCATCATCATCATCATCATCATCATCATCATCATCATCATCATCATCATCATCATCATCATCATCATCATCATCATCATCATCATCGTCGTCATCGTCGTCGTCGTCGTGGTCGTCGTCGTCGTCGTCAACATCATCGACAGACATCATCCATCATCCATCATCCATCATCCATGGCCTCATCAACAACAGCATCATCAGCATCATCAGCAGCATCATCAGCATCATCAGCGTCATGGTCATCATCATCAGCATCAGCATCATCATCATCAGCAGCAGCAGCCTAATCATTGGCATCATCATCATCAGCAGCAGCAGCATCACCATCAACATCATCATCAAGATCTGCATCATCATCATCACCATCATCACCGTCATCAGCATCATCATCATCATCATCATCATCATCATCATCATCATCATCATCATCATCATCATCATCATCATCCTCATCATTCACCATGGTCATCATCATCACCATCAACATCGTCATCATCATCATCATCATCATCATCCTCATCATCCTCATCCTCATCCTCATCTTTATCATCAGTACCACCATCAGCATCATCATCAGCAGCATCATAATCAGCATCATCATCACGGTCATCCTCATCCTCCACATCATCATCATCATCATCATCATCATCATCATCATCATCATCATCATCATCATCATCATGATCGAGATTACCACCACAACCAGCACCATCAATACCAACATCAGCATCTACATCATCATATTCATCATCAGCAGCAGCAACAGCATCACCATCATCACCATACTAATGACCAGCATCATCAGCAGCAGCAGCCTCGCCGTATTTCGTTATTTTGATCGCCATCATCGCCATCATCATCAGCAGCATCAGCAGCATCAGCATCTTCATCATGATCATTGTCAGCATCATCATCAGCAGCATCAGCATCATTATTATCATCAGCATAGCATCATCATCGTCAGCAGCAACTTCATCACCACCACCATCACCATCACCATCATCATCAGCACCACCACCATCATCATACTCCGCCCCAACGCGACCTCGCTGCAATCCAAGAAAGCCTCGGGACGGCCGAGGTGTCACATGTGACGGCCATCTAGGCGTTGCTCCAACCGTCGACACATAAGAGATGGGGTAGGAGGAAGGAGGAGAAATGGAAGAAGGTGGGGCAGGAGTAATGCGGAGGAGAAGGGAGCAGTAGGACTCCACGAGGCCGACGCCAAGGACGAGGAGAGACACACCGACACGACGCGAAGAGCGGAAGAGCGCGTCACGTGTCACAGCTCCCCCAGGCCTCGGGACACGAGGTGCCACACGTTACGGCTTCCTATGCGCACCACCCAGAGTAATAAGCTGGATACCTTTGGAACCCAAACGGACCCTTAGACGGACTGAGCATCCCGGGGAACTTGCCCGCGACCTCGGGCGTGATGTAGCCCATCGTGGCCAGCATGCTGATGCGGCCATGCTTGATCTCAGTAGAGCGGCGCCTCCTGAACTTCTCGGCATCGCCGTCCTTCGTGAAGCCGATGGGGTCCCAGAAGCCCAAGGGTGCCTGCACGCCCAGCTCGCTCTCGAAGGCGCGCAGCGGCGAGTCCGTGTAGCTGGCCCAGTCGCCCCAGGCACTGCCGGTCAGGCCGTCTTGATAGAACATGCCGATGATCGCCATCATCGCCAGCCTACCGTTGGCGATCTCCGCGTTCAGCTTCTTCGTCTTCGCCTCGCCCTGGAAGCCAGAGAGCAGAGGCGGCTTCCAGCCCACGTCGCCGGGCGTCTTCTCGCCGAACGCCACGTACTTTCCCTTCTCTGTCGCGGAGCCGTTCACGCTTGCAGACCGCTCGCAGAACCAGCAGTAGGCGATCATCTGCAACCAACCCTCTTGAGGCACCTTGGACAAGGCGGCCAGGCCGTTCGGGACGTCTTCGAAGGCGATGCCTGTTCTCACGGGGCTGGGTTAAACACAGACGCCGCCAGTGGCTCCCTCCCTCTTTCCCGCCTCCACCGCTGCCTCTTCCCCCCCCTCTCTCTCCTGGGAGGGGGGAAGCGGATTACAGGAGGTCCTGGTCGTGTACATTTGGGCCCCAGAAAGACCCTTAGACGGACTGAGCATCCCGGGGAACTTGCCCGCGACCTCGGGCGTGATGTAGCCCATCGTGGCCAGCATGCTGATGCGGCCATGCTTGATCTCAGTAGAGCGGCGCCTCCTGAACTTCTCGGCATCGCCGTCCTTCGTGAAGCCGATGGGGTCCCAGAAGCCCAAGGGTGCCTGCACGCCCAGCTCGCTCTCGAAGGCGCGCAGCGGCGAGTCCGTGTAGCTGGCCCAGTCGCCCCAGGCACTGCCGGTCAGGCCGTCTTGATAGAACATGCCGATGATCGCCATCATCGCCAGCCTTCCGTTGGCGATCTCCGCGTTCAGCTTCTTCGTCTTCGCCTCGCCCTGGAAGCCAGAGAGCAGAGGCGGCTTCCAGCCCACGTCGCCCGGCGTCTTCTCGCCGAACGCCACGTACTTTCCCTTCTCTGTCGCGGAGCCGTTCACGCTCGCAGACCGCTCGCAGAACCAGCAGTAGGCGATCATCTGCAACCAACCCTCTTGAGGCACCTTGGACAAGGCGGCCAGGCCGTTCGGGACGTCTTCGAAGGCGATGCCTGTTCTCACGGGGCTGGGTTAAACACAGACGCCGCCAGTGGCTCCCTCCCTCTTTCCCGCCTCCACCGCTGCCTCTTCCCCCCCCTCTCTCTCCTGGGAGGGGGGAAGCGGATTACAGGAGGTCCTGGTCGTGTACATTTGGGCCCCAGAAAGACCCTTAGACGGACTGAGCATCCCGGGGAACTTGCCCGCGACCTCGGGCGTGATGTAGCCCATCGTGGCCAGCATGCTGATGCGGCCATGCTTGATCTCAGTAGAGCGGCGCCTCCTGAACTTCTCGGCATCGCCGTCCTTCGTGAAGCCGATGGGGTCCCAGAAGCCCAAGGGTGCCTGCACGCCCAGCTCGCTCTCGAAGGCGCGCAGCGGCGAGTCCGTGTAGCTGGCCCAGTCGCCCCAGGCACTGCCGGTCAGGCCGTCTTGATAGAACATGCCGATGATCGCCATCATCGCCAGCCTTCCGTTGGCGATCTCCGCGTTCAGCTTCTTCGTCTTCGCCTCGCCCTGGAAGCCAGAGAGCAGAGGCGGCTTCCAGCCCACGTCGCCCGGCGTCTTCTCGCCGAACGCCACGTACTTTCCCTTCTCTGTCGCGGAGCCGTTCACGCTCGCAGACCGCTCGCAGAACCAGCAGTAGGCGATCATCTGCAACCAACCCTCTTGAGGCACCTTGGACAAGGCGGCCAGGCCGTTCGGGACGTCTTCGAAGGCGATGCCTGTTCTCACGTGGCTGGGTTAGAAACAGACGCCGCCAGCGGCTCCCTCCCTCATCCCCGCCTCCACACCCGTCCCTTCCCCCCCTCCTCCTGGGAGGGGGGAAGCGGATTACAGGAGGTCCTGGACGTGTACATTTGGGCCCCAGAAAGACCCTTCGACGGACTGAGCATCCCGGGGAACTTGCCCGCGACCTCGGGCGTGATGTAGCCCATCGTGGCCAGCATGCTGATGCGGCCATGCTTGATCTCAGTAGAGCGGCGCCTCCTGAACTTCTCGGCATCGCCGTCCTTCGTGAAGCCGATGGGGTCCCAGAAGCCCAAGGGTGCCTGCACGCCCAACTCGCTCTCGAAGGCGCGCAGCGGCGAGTCCGTGTAGCTGGCCCAGTCGCCCCAGGCACTGCCGGTCAGGCCGTCTTGATAGAACATGCCGATGATCGCCATCATCGCCAGCCTTCCGTTGGCGATCTCCGCGTTCAGCTTCTTCGTCTTCGCCTCGCCCTGGAAGCCAGAGAGCAGAGGCGGCTTCCAGCCCACGTCGCCCGGCGTCTTCTCGCCGAACGCCACGTACTTTCCCTTCTCTGTCGCGGAGCCGTTCACGCTTGCAGACCGCTCGCAGAACCAGCAGTAGGCGATCATCTGCAACCAACCCTCTTGAGGCACCTTGGACAAGGCGGCCAGGCCGTTCGGGACGTCTTCGAAGGCGATGCCTGTTCTCACGGGGCTGGGTTAGAAACAGACGCCACCAGCGGCTCCCTCCCTCATCCCCGCCTCCACACCCGCCCCTTCCCCCCCTCCTCCTGGGAGGGGGGAAGCGGATTACAGGAGGTCCTGGTCGTGTACATTTGGGCCCCAGAAAGACCCTTAGACGGACTGAGCATCCCGGGGAACTTGCCCGCGACCTCGGGCGTGATGTAGCCCATCGTGGCCAGCATGCTGATGCGGCCATGCTTGATCTCAGTAGAGCGGCGCCTCCTGAACTTCTCGGCATCGCCGTCCTTCGTGAAGCCGATGGGGTCCCAGAAGCCCAAGGGTGCCTGCACGCCCAGCTCGCTCTCGAAGGCGCGCAGCGGCGAGTCCGTGTAGCTGGCCCAGTCGCCCCAGGCACTGCCGGTCAGGCCGTCTTGATAGAACATGCCGATGATCGCCATCATCGCCAGCCTTCCGTTGGCGATCTCCGCGTTCAGCTTCTTCGTCTTCGCCTCGCCCTGGAAGCCAGAGAGCAGAGGCGGCTTCCAGCCCACGTCGCCCGGCGTCTTCTCGCCGAACGCCACGTACTTTCCCTTCTCTGTCGCGGAGCCGTTCACGCTCGCAGACCGCTCGCAGAACCAGCAGTAGGCAATCATCTGCAGCCAACCCTCTTGAGGCACCTTGGACAGGGCGGCCAGGCCGTTCGGGACGTCTTCGAAGGCGATGCCTGTGCTCACAGTGTTAAATCCAAATCAGACGCCACCAGTGGCTCCCTCCCTCCATCCCGCCGCCTCCACCGCTGCCTCTTCCCCCTCCCTCCTGGGAGGGTCCGGGAAGCGGGTTACAGGATGTCATGGCGATGCATCGGCCACCGTGTCCCCTAGCACGTTGAGGCGTGGTAGAATGACAAGTGCTGCCTGGCAGAGATTATGCGAGTGTTCTCTGGGATCCCCGCCCCCTCTTATCATACACTTCAACAGATCCCTCTTGGTACGGGCTTCCCTCCTCCTCCTCATCCTTCACCACCTCCAACTCATCATCATCATCATCATCACCATCATCATCATCATCATCATCACCACCACCATCATCATCACCACCACCACAATCACCACAATTACCAGACCCATCATCATCATCATCCTCATCATCATCATCACCATCATCATCATCATCATCATCATCATCATCACCATCATCATCATCGTCGTCATCGTCATCATCATCAACGTCGTCGTCATCAACGTCATCAACATACATCATCCACCATCCATCATCCATCATCCATGGTCAGCATCATCAACAACAGCATCATCATCATCATCATCAGCATCCTCAGCGGCATGGTCATCATCATGAACATCAGCATCAGCATCATCAGCAGCAGCCTCACCATTGTCATCATCATCATCAGCAGCATCACCATCAGCAGCATCATCAACAATATCAGTATTGTCGTCACCATCATCATCATCATCACCATCATCATCATCAGCATCATCATCAGCATCATCATCCACATCTGCATCAGCATCATTCATCATGGTCATCATCATCATCATCAGCATCATCAGCATCAGCATCGTCATCATCATCATTCATTACTTATCATCAACATCATCATCATCATCCTCATCATCATCATCATCATCAACATCATCATCATTACGGTAATCCTCATCCTCCTCAACATCCTGATTACCGACCTTACCACCACAAACAGCACCATCAATATCATTATCAGCATCAACACCATCATCTGCATCATCATCAGCAGCAGCAGCAACAGCATCACCATCATCACCATAGCAATGACCAGCATCATCAGCAGCAGTAGCCTCGCCGTATTCTTCGTTATCTGTATCGCCACCATCTCCGTCATCATCAGCAGCATCAGCAGCACCAGCATCTTCATCATGATCATCGTCAGCATCATCAGCAGCATCAGCATCATCATTATCATTAGCATAGCATCATCATCAGCAGCAGCAACATCATCATCTCCACAATCACCATCACCATCATCATCAGCACCACCACCATCATCATACCCCGCCCCAGCGCGGCCTCGCTGCAATCCAAGAAAGCCTCGGGACGGCCGAGGTGTCACATGTGACAGCCATCTGGGCGTTGCTCCAACCGTCGACACGTAAGAGATGGGGTAGGAGGAAGGAGGAAAAATGGAAGAAGGTGGGGCAGGAGTAACGCGGAGGAGAAGGGAGCAGTAGGACTCCACGAGGCCGACGCCAAGGACGAGGAGAGACACACCGACACGACGCGAAGAGCGGAAGAGCGCATCACGTGTTACGGCTCCCCCAAGCCTCGGGACACGAGGTGCCACACGTTACGGCTTCCTATGCGCACCACCCAGAGTAATAAGCTGGATACTTTTGGAACCCAGACGGACCCTTAGACGGACTGAGCATCCCGGGGAATTTGCCCGCGACCTCGGGCGTGATGTAGCCCATCGTGGCCAGCATGCTGATGCGGCCATGCTTGATCTCAGTAGAGCGGCGCCGCCTGAACTTCTCGGCATCGCCGTCCTTCGTGAAGCCGATGGGGTCCCAGAAGCCCAAGGGTGCCTGCACGCCCAGCTCGCTCTCGAAGGCGCGCAGCGGCGAGTCCGTGTAGCTGGCCCAGTCGCCCCAGGCACTGCCAGTCAGGCCGTCTTGATAGAACATGCCGATGATCGCCATCATCGCCAGCCTTCCGTTGGCGATCTCCGCGTTCAGCTTCTTCGTCTTCGCCTCGCCCTGAAAGCCAGAGAGCAGAGGCGGCTTCCAGCCCACGTCGCCCGGCGTCTTCTCGCCGAACGCCACGTACTTTCCCTTCTCAGTCGCAGAGCCGTTCACGCTCGCAGACCGCTCGCAGAACCAGCAGTAGGCAATCATCTGCAACCAACCCTCTTGAGGCACCTTGGACAGGGCGGCCAGGCCGTTCGGGACGTCTTCGAAGGCGATGCCTGTGCTCACGGTGTTAAATCCAAATCAGACGCCACCAGTGGCTCCCTCCCTCCAAACCCCCGCCTCCACCGCTGCCTCTTACCCCTCCCTCTCCTGGAAGGGGCGGGGAAGCGGGTTACAGGTCATGGCGATGCATCGGCCACCGTGCCCCCTAGCACGTTGAGGCGTGGTAGGATGACAAGTGCTGTCTGGCAGAGATTATGCGAGTGTTTTCTGGGATCCCCGCCCCCTCTTTTCATACACTGCAACAGATCACTCTTGGTACGGCCTTCCCCCATCCTCCTCCTCCCCCAACTCCTCCTCCCCCTCCTTCACCTGCTCCTCCTTATCAGTATCACCACCACCACAATCACCACAAGTACCATCACCAACATCATTATTAGTAGTATTACTACTATGTTTTATTTTGTTATTATTATTCCCTACCTAGGCTCTGCCTAGAAGGGTTCTTACTCTCTAGCTTAAAGGGGCCGGGCAGTGGAAAGCGCCCCGGGCGGTTCCCCCAGTCCCCGCCCCGCGGTTCCCCCAGTCGCGCCCCCTGGGTTCACCCAGCTAAGCTTAGCTAAGCTTAGCTAAGCTTAGCTAAGCTTAGCTAAGCTTAGCTTAGCTTAGTTTAGCTTATCTTATCTCATCTTAGCTTCGCTTAGCTTACCTTAGCTTAGCTTTGTCTAGCCTAGCTTGGCTTAGCTTAACTTAGCTTAGCTTAGCTTATATCATCTTAGCTTAGCTTTGCTTAGTTTAGCTTAGCTTAGCGTGGCTTGGCTTGGCTTAGCTTAGCTTAGCTTGCTTAGCCTAGCTTAGCTTAGCTTAGCTTAGCATAGCTTAGCTTACCTTAGCTTAGCGCAGCGCAGCATAGCGCAGCGCAGCATAGCGCAGCGCAGCATTAGCACCGCATAGCATCGCATAGCATGGCCAAGCATAGCATAGCATGGCCAAGCATAGCATAGCATAGCATAGCATAGCATAGCTCAGAATAGCATAGCATAGCATAGCATAGCATAGCACAGCATAGCATAGCATAGCATAGCATAGCATTGCTTAGCATAGCACAGCATAGTATAGCAAATCATATCATTGCATAGCATATCGCAGCATAGCGCAGCATACCATAGCATGGCATAGCATAGCATTGCATAGCGCAGCATCGCATATCATAGCATAGCCTAGCATAGCATAGCATAGCGCATCATGCTATAGCATAGCATAGCGCAGCATCGCATATCATAGCATAGCGCAGCATAGCATAGCATAGCATTGCCTGCTATGCTAGCATAGCCTCCTATGCTCCTAGGAAAATGCAGATGTAGCTGTAGGTGTAGGTGTAGATGTGGATGTAGGTGTAGATGTAGATGTAGATGTACATGTAGGTGTAGATGTAGGTGTATATGTAGATGTAGATGTAGATGTGAGTCTCGCTGTTGATGTAGATGTAGGCGTAGATGCAGGTGTAGATGTACATGTAGCTGTCGGTGTAGATGTAGATGTTGCTTTCCTAAATGCTCCAACTCCTAGGTAGGGTCGCACTGGGACAATTCTTATTATTCTTATTATTCTTATTACTATTATCATTACTCTTATCATTATCATCATCAGCAGCAGCAGCATCATCGTCATCGTCATCGTCAACATCATCAACCTACACCATCCATCATCCATCATCCATGACCATCATCATCAACACAGCATCATCATCAGCATCAGCATCATCAGCGTCATGCTCATCATCATCATCAGCAGCAGCAGCATCATCATCATCATCATCATCATAATCATCATCATCATCATCATCATCATCATCATCATCATCATCATCATCATCATCATTTGCAGCAGCATCATCATTGTCATCATCATCAGCAGCATCAGTATCAGCATCATCATCAGTATCAGCATCATCATCATCGCCATCATCACCATCCTCATCCTCATCCTCATCCTGATCATGGTCATCATCATCAGCATCAGCATCGTCATCATCATCATCATCATCATCATCAACATCATCATCGGCATCATCAGCATCCTAATCATCAGTACCATCATCAGTACCAGCATCCTCATATCATCGTCATCATCAGCATGATTATGATGGTCATCCTCATCCTCCTCATCCTCATCCTGATTATCGGCATTACCACCACAACCAGCACCATAAATATCATCATCCTCATCATCAACATCATCAGCTTCATCATCATCAGCAGCAGTATCACCATCATCACCATAATCATGACCAGCATCATCAGCAGCATCATCGTCGTAGCATTCGTTATCTTAATCGCCATTATCGCCATCATCGCCATCTTCGCCAGCATCATCATCAGCAGCATCAGCAGCATCAGCACCTTCGTCATGATCATCGCCAGCATCATCACCAGCAGCATCAGCATCATCATTATCATTAGCATAATCATCATCATCATCATCATCATCAGCAGCAGTAGCAGCATCATCACCATCACCATCATCATCAGCACCACCACCATCATCATACTCCGCCCCAACGCGGCCTCGCTGCAATCCAAGAAAGCCTCGGGACGGCCGAGGCGTCACATGTGACAGCCATCTGGGCGTTGCTCCAACCGTCGACACATAAGAGATGGGGTAGGAGGAAGGAGGAGAAATGGAAGAAGGTGGGGCAGGAGTAACGCGGAGGAGAAGGGAGCAGTAGGACTCCACGAGACCGACGCCAAGGACGAGGAGAGACACACCGACACGACGCGAAGAGCGGAAGAGCGCATCACGTGTTACGGCTACCCCAAGCCTCGGGACAACAGGTGCCACATGGTACGGCTTCCTATGCGCCCCACCCAGAGTGATAAGCTGGATACCTTTAGAACCCAGACGGACCCTTGGACGGACTGAGCATCCCGGGGAACTTGCCGGCGACTTCGGGCGTGATGTAGCCCATCGTGGCCAGCATGCTGATGCGGCCATGCTTGATCTCAGTAGAGCGGCGCCTCCTGAACTTCTCGGCATCGCCGTCCTTCGTGAAGCCGACGGGGTCCCAGAAGCCCAAGGGTGCCTGCACGCCCAACTCGCTCTCGAAGGCACGCAGAGAAACTGACTTCTTCTGGGCTGGCGCCGTGGCGGCCTTGCGCACAGTGACGAGGGCCCGTCGGGACGCCAGCGCCAGCGCCGCGGAGACGCCCACCATGGTGAGGCCGAAAGCTGCGTGCACCGAGGAAGCGTCCACAGATGCGGAGGTCGCACGCGTTGTCTCCACGTCTACCTGCAGCAAGGAGCACGAGTTACGTACGAGTTCGGCCGCGCACCCTTTATTTCCCGTCTGCATGGGGCGGTCTTCGGGGCAGTCTCGGGCGGTCTCAAGGCGGACTCGGGGCGGTCTCAGCACGGTCCTTTGCGATATCTGGCGGTCTTCTGCGCCCAAGTCGGAATGGCACCATTGGGACCAGCCAACTTATGAACCAAACGCCTAAGATGAAGAAGAGAAGGGGAAGGGTGCTCACGATGCCGACCTGCAGGTGCCCAGTCGCCTGCCCTGGGGTCTGCCGCAGGTGGGGGGCCACGAAAGACAGGCCGCCACTCAGGGCCGCCGCGGCGAAGGCGCCAGACGCGAGGATCGACGACCTGGCCATTGCTGGAATCCAGCGGCTATCCGTCTCACAAAGGGCAGATAACAAAACCTGGAAGACAGGAAAGCCTGAGCCTGAACGGCTGGTCGGCGGGGGGACGGAGGAAGGAGAGGCCGTGCAAGATGCACGAGCGGGTGCGGAGATCGTGAAACTGACTTGTGATTGAGACTTCGCGAAGCGATTCGATTTTGTTCCCAACTTCGGCTTTGCTGAACTGTGCACGACCTTGCGACGCGGGTCCTTCCCGCCAGTTCCTAGGTCTTCGAGGGATCCACGGGAGGTCCTCGGGGTTCCTCGGGGTTCCTCGGCTATGCCTCTGTATTTCCTCGGAGGGTCCTCGGGGCTTCCTCGGTGATCCTTACTTCGCTCTGCTCTGCAATTCCGAAGTGCCGCGCACTGCTACGCTTTGATTACTGATTAGCATAGCTTCCCATCCACACTCATTGCTTTCTATACGGATTCCATTATGTTGCTGCGTCTGGTAGCACTATATAAATATGTACACACACATCTGGATGCAAATATACATAAGCTAGTGTGCGTATATATAGATACATGTATGTATGTATATGTGTGTGATGTTTTGCCATGCGATGCTTTGCATTGCATTACACGGCTGTCCTTGCATTGCTTCCCCTATCATTGTATGTCATTGCCTTGCATTGGTTCGCATTGGCTTGAGATGAGTTGCGTTGTTTGCATTGCATTGCTATTGCATTGATTTGATTTCTGTGATTTGGAATGATTTGCGACCGAGGTTCCATGGGACTGCCTCGTCCAATTACCTTCAGAAATCATTTCCTCCAACTTTGTATCTTCTACTTTAAGAGGAAGTGTCAACTGAACGCAACAGTATTAACCGCATGTTCCTGTACTGCCGCCTTCTCCCACATGATGTGGTCGGCAATGGACTTTGGCCCTCCCGCCACCGAGCGATCACGTCGCGCAACGAAGAATTTCGCCCAATTTGGAATCAACTATTCAGCAGAAAGGCTTGGCCTGTTGGTTGACTTTTGAAGCAACTGTTCGGCCAACCATTGATTCCCCTGCACCGATACACACAGGCGCGTGCATGCCGAACTATGCACAACGGTTTCGCCATTTCTTGCCCTCTGCACCATCTCGTCGTAGCTCTCTCCCGGCCATAGGTCGGTTGAGTTGTAGCGGCGATTCGTCAGCTCCCTAGCGTACAAGAGCTTCAAGAACGTGGTTTCTACCATTGCCCTCACCCACAACAGCCATGGCATGGTGCGGCAACTTGACAGGCCATCTGCGAACTCCGTCATTGTCCAGAGGAGGGGGCACTTTACTTTTGTCGTTATCCCCCTGTGATCTCAAGGCATTTCTCCTTCAGTTTTCGCTCAGCGCGCTCTGGTGGAGTCTCGGCGGCCTGTACCCGAGTGGGCTCAACGGATCGTGCACGAAGCTTTGTTGGACTCACGGCTGCGCCAGATCCAGCAACGACCCCTACGCCACCTAGGCTCTGCACGGCTGAGCCGGCAGAGCTGGCGGCCGGCCCGACTATCTCCACCTCTACTTTTGATTGCCCGGTCTGTCCACCAACAGGCCAAGCCTCGGAGGCGCGCCAAACAACCTGTCCGGCTGTGCTGGCAGGAGATCGGAATGCTGACTGCGAAATTTCCATAGCTTGCTGCACGTGCTGATCGCCCCCAATCTTCTGTCCGACCTGCCTCAAAGTCTGCCCCTCAGAGGGCATGGCAGGGAAAGGTTGGCTTCTCTCCAGAAATGAAAGTCACTCCATTGCAGATAGGCCTGATATCCTAAGCCCGCCGATAAGGAATCACGCCACTCCTTGGAAAACAAAGAATGTCGTGCCCCACCACCCGCACCGGCTGAGCCGGCCGGAAAATCAGATAGTTTGAGGGGATCGGGAAAAAGAAGGGCGCCCAAGGCCGACTGCGGAGTAAAGGTGCCGATGGGGCACCATCTCATCGTGCGTCGCCTCCACCTGCGCGCACCCATCTGCACGTGCCTGATTGGCACAGGCAACCCCCTGAGCGGCTGAGCCGCCAGAGGGCTGGCAGGAGAGCCAGGCCGCTAGCTTGGCAGCCTTCAACATATAATCTTCAAACAACTCAGCCGCTGCAACAGTCACTGGTTTCGTTCCTTTCTCCAACTTATACGATTCATGCTGATGAAGGAAATGGCGCGCATCGGTCGGTGAGCGTTTAATTTCCGATACAGAATAGCGCCGTCCAGAATCATTATTCTGGGATGGACACCTCCAGCTTTATAGCGCTCAATGCGCTGGGTCATTCTTGCTCGCAGTAGCGTAGCGATGTCATCCCACATTACGTAAACTTTGAAGGTTCCATCGGCGGACTGCCAACAAGGATGGTCTCCACCAACATAGCATATCTGGATAGCCCCCGACGTTGAACGATTTACCGCTTCATCGATCATTCTCGCAGCGGTCTCGAAGAAAAGACCAAGCGCCAGAATCAACCTCTCACTACCAGGTTCCTTGTTCTTGATTTCGGTCAGTCCGATCACGTTGCACTGGTCTCCATCCGAGATACCATTCAATGACCAAAATATGAACTGCATGGGCGCATGATGTCCTGAAATGAAATGACCTTGGGTGGTGAACGCTGAGTTTTTTCCAAACATCCTGACTAGCCAAAGCAAGCAGTGTCTTCCCTCAGGACCCCCCCTCGATATCTCCCTGAAGACCATGGACATGTTCTCGCAGTTGGATTGGGACTCCAGTTATCGCACCAAGCCTACGTTCATCATTTCCATGAAACGTGCACGTTGAATCCGAGATTATATGAATTGCGGCAGTCCAGAATTTATGCGACGAGTGGGACACCAGCGTCAGTGGGCGGAAAAATTCGGTCGGTGGCCTCCCAGTCCTCACCATTGCGGCCAGGTCTTCGCCAACAAAAGGATCCACCCGTGACCATTCACCTCCGCTAGTCTAGCGATGGCCTTGCATTTCTTCTGCTAACCTAGCCACGCAATTGAGTGACGGAAGGCGGAGTCCACTACGTCAACATGGACGGTCGATATCTCATGGATGCTTTTTGCCCACTCCTCTGAGACATCAATTAGAGGCCCAGCTGCGCCAGCCCCTGTCTGCGCCCTATGTTGCAACGCATTCCAGATGCCACAATCCAAATACAATGGGTCGGGCCCTTCACGTGCTCCACCGGGAGCTGGGGGCGGCGTTGGACCCGGACCTGGGATAAGACCACCGCCCCCGCTTCCACCCGGCGGGCCAGGAGGCTGCCTGGCGTTTCCGCCACTGGCACCCGACCCGGCGGACGCCCCCCAACCCCCGGCCGAGCCGACGGAGGGGGGGGCGGAGGCAGGGTTCTCGCCGAGACCACTCCAGGAAGCACCAGAGGAGACAGGAGCACCGCCTGCCGGGGCCTGCACTGGGCCATCAAACTGACACGGTGAAGCTTCGGCAGGTGCATCTTTGCCTCAGCGGCGGCGACATTCTCAACCTTGACATTCTTGGCCGACCTTGGGTTATCAGCTTCAACCGACCTTTCCTGCGGAAGGTGTCCTTCCGTCCTCACTGAGGCGTCGGTCGTTGAAGCTTCAGCTATTTTGGCTGACCTTGGTTCCTCGGCGTCGCACGCCCGCTTCTGCGGAAAGCTCCCTTCTCCCACATTGGACAAAGCACCCCCCGAAGGTGGCCCTCTGAGCTCAGGCGGCTGAGCCGCTGAGCGGAGCTTTGCCTTCTTGGGCAAGGGCCCTTCCTGCAATGCCTTCAACTCCTGGTATCCCGCCAGAGCCTCTTCGGCCAATGCCTGTTCGACTGCGCGGGCCTCTGCACAAACATCCCCTTTTCACAACTGGAAGGGCAAAGCGCGCCCCAAATTTCTCGACGGCTGCGCCGTCTGGGGGCCTGCTTCGGGAAGGTCCCCACATGTTCATGAACACTACTCCGTTCGTGCGTTGATCAATGGTACGAATAATGACAAAATGTCCTACGCCCTTTATATAAGTAAACTCGGGCCGATTCAAGACAGGTCCCATGACATCCCCACGATCGCATCATCGGACAAACTTGCTCTCCGGACCCCCTGGCCGTCCGCCGTGGAAATTGCATCTCAAGGACGCGCGCGGATCAACGTGGGATTGGAAATACTGCCACACCTTACTGCGATCAAGATCCAGGGGAGGGCCATCAAAACTGCCCCTAAACTGACTTTGAGTCTTTCCAACAGGCAGCCCAGAAAACGACCCACGGGTCTTCGGACATTCTGGCGTACAGCCCTTGACCCTTGAATGACTGACTCGCCACACGCCTTTAAATCTTCGTTGAGCTTACTGGTGACGAAATCACTTCGGT